ATATAAGTACTAAAGCATGGGGAAACATTTGAGATAAAAGAATTTTAAAATTATGTCAGTGAGCATAAAAGAAGTTTTAAAATAAATTAGTTTGGAAATACCATTTAAAATTGAATCGTATGGATAGTAAAGTTTCACATTTGGGTTGGAGATGTGAGCAAGAAGTAGGTACTTAAGTCCATATGGGGTAGGATGGTGAGAATTAATCAAAATTTGGCTTTTTAAAAGAAATTAATGAAATATTGAAGTTAAGTGTAGAGTTAAGTCTTAGAATAGTGTTGTTGTCCATTTTTTATATAAAACAATGAGACTGGACAGTTAAAGAATTGATAACAAATCTATTAGCAGCAGTAAGATTAATTATGGGAAAGAATTGAAAGTTAAAGCAGGAATTTCAATTAAATGATTGGTATAGTTTGGACTATAGCTGTTAATGATAAATGAACTCGTGATATTAAGGTCAAAAGGGTTGGATAAATAAGAACATTTTAAGTTGTATCTGGGGAGTTTTTATTGATTATGTGTTAACAAAAAGGAAAGGTGTACAGTACCTTCAAAGGAATCTATGCAGTTTTGGTAAGGGAATGGGGCACTCTAATTGGAAATTTGATGCAAAACATTTCAAATAGTCTTGGTGGAGGGGTTGCTTTGTGTAATTGTGTAGTTTAAGTTGTTTTATTTATTTATTTATTTATTCTATTTATATCCCACCTATCTGGTCTTGCGAACACTCTAGTTTATGTATGCATCAATTTTTCAGTCCTTTATTCTCTATTGTTTTATCATTATTTTTTGTTTTGCATTTTTTTTTCTTAAATAAAATTTAAAAACAAGCAACAACTACAATAAAAAAAAATAAAATAGCTACCTGATTGTGAAGCAAAGTGTTTTGAGAGTAAGTTATTGTGGTATTGCACTTAAAAAAACTTCTGATTTCTCTCTTTGAGATGAGGGTGGGAATTGAATCTTTCTGTTCATCAAGTTTCAACACCATTATTTCATTGTTTACTGGCAAACTGTAGGCCTAAAGACTTGAGTAGCTTGAGCAGGGTGGATTTGATTTAAATTGGATTTTTAAGATTTAATTTTTAAAAATTAGATTTTTAAAAAGTGAAATGTTTCCTGTCCAGTGATTTAAATTGTGATTTAAATTAAATCTACTCTTCTTGTTAATGGAACCATTGGTCTCTCTGCCTTTAATTTAAGCTTTTGTAGCAAGTGTTGATTGTAAGAGAACTCCTTAAGATCTTTTCCCATATCTAGAATTTCAGACATCAGGTTATGAATAGCATTCTTTCAGTATGCACCCCACAAATTTGTTTGGACATAAACTGCAACAATTGGAAGCTACAGACTGGCTTGGACTTTACTTGACCTTTGCATCACTGAAGTGACTTATCACCTTTTCTCTGTTCTCTGGTGGTCATTGCAAAGTGAGAATATGTTCAAGATGTAAAATGACAGCTAAATTGCCTGCAGTCTTTGAAATTGCTAATTACCAGGCCAAAATTGTTTCTTAATAACTCTTAAGGACACTTAAGCAGTAATTTTCTGTTATGTCAATACCTCTGCTTAACCTGGGATATTACCCAAAACCATACCTGGCTTCTTAAAGTGTAGTGTCTGCTGCACTGTTTTTACTAGTTAGGGATGATGCAAGAAACTGAGACGTTAGCTCTGTCACCGGCCCACTTCTAACCATATTATTTTTTCTGCCATTTCAGCATAAAACCAAGCAGAAGTATTGTACTAAAATCTGTATTTTTTTCCTGAACCATAAAAACTTCAATTAACGAGTATTTATTGCTTTCAAAATACAGTGGTGCAATGTGGGGCAAAAAACCCCATAGGAACGCATTAAAATACGTTTAATGCATTCCTATGGGGAAAAAACTCACCTTTAAGCAAAAATCCTCCATCCGGCCGCCATTTTCGCTGCCTGGTAAGCGAGGAAAGGGAGCAAAAACACTGCGACGACCATTTTATTTACCCGGTGGCCATTTTGGAACCGCCGATCAACTGTGCTTTGGCTCTCTCGCTCTATCTCTCCCCCATCATCCGAAGCCCCACCGACCAGCTGGGCGAAAACGGGGCATTTGTGATGATCGTGCGGAAGCTGCTTTGGCGCTCTCTCTCTTTCCCCCCTCGCAGCTCCAGCCTTGTGTTCAGTGTAGAAGGGATGGTCACTCTCGAATTGGCCTCTTCAGCCACACTAGACGCTGTTCTAGGTTCTCCATACAGAGCACGTTACCATGGTCTCTCGATATGCTGGCTTCCCTGTGATCTTCGCAAACACCTGCCGATCAGCTCTGCTTCGGCTCTCTCGGCGGGGCCTTTGGGATAATCGTGGGAAAGCGCTTCCCCGCGATCATCGCAAAGCGAATTTTCCCCATAGGGGCCATCGCAAAAACTTAATCACTATGCGGATTCGTCGTTAAACGGAGTGCTCGTTAAGAGCGGCACCACTGTATATGTTTGTAAAATATTTCCCACTTCACTAGATCTATATCAGTTCAGTGACTGTTTCCCATTCCCCTTGTTGTGAATAGTTCACAGTTCTTACTACAATAAATTGTTGGTCTCTATGAATTTTTGTTTTGACTTGATCCTTTGCATGTTTACTCAGAAGTATGCAATTAAGCTGTTGGATAGGGACTTTGTTTTTATGCTCATCTTTTTGACTATGTATATACTTATGTTACCTCAGTTGAGTTGTGATATAGAACAGCAAATTAATACTCAAAGAAAACTGGGTCCAGATCCCTACTTGACCATAGAAACTTGAGCAGGGGGAATGGTAAAAAACCACTTCTTAAATATCCCACGTGCATTGAAGCCTATGTTAGGGTTACTATATGTTGGATGCCATTTGGCAGCACAGCACAAGAAAATAATTCAATACAACAAATAATGGTGGTGGAAGTGATGAGGAGGTGGATTTTTGATCTGGCTAGAGATGCTTCCCCAGATGATTGTTAATATGGAAGGTATATTCAAGAAATTAGTTTCCTTGCTTAAGGACCACTGAGAAATCATGGTGTGTGAAGATAAGGATATTACCCTCCATCCACTTCTATACATTTAAGGTGAATTCCTGCATTGGGGAACCTTCTGTATCCCTGCATGCTCTTTACACTCTTTGACCCCAGGAAAACCAGGGTTCTCTATTGCACAGAAAACCAACACAGATAAAAATGATTCCCTCGGTAGATGTTTACTCTCAATGTGCAGAATGAGTTTGTCTTCATTCTTCCTCCCATATGTCCATTAAACTTGCACTAGAAGAAGACCACAGTTTATTTCTTCAAGGCAAACTTTTGTGTGTTGATGCCAACTTGGTATGCTGATGAAATCATTTTTGTACAAATATTCTAATGTTGCAAAATAAACGTATTCTCGAAGGCTTTCATGGCCGGGATCTAATGGTTGTTGTGGGTTTTTCGGGCTCTTTGGCCGTGTTCTGAAGGTTGTTCTTCCTAACGTTTCGCCAGTCTCTGTGGCCAGCATCTTCAGAGGACAGAAGTCAGAACTCTGTCTGCATTGTGAATACTAGAATTGGCCAAAGCTTAAAATTTAAAATTTACTAAATATGTGGCTTGTTTCTTAGAGAGAAAGCTTTGCTAATTAGAACTACTTACATCCAGTACACTGGACCCTCGACTTATAGACAGCTCGACTTAAAGACTTTTCGAGTTACAGACTTCTCTGGCTGCAAAATTTAGGTTCAACTTGCAGCTGGGGAATCGACCTACAGACCAGAAAAAACCCAAAATGGAACAAAAATGGGACAAAAATGGCCGGTTACAGGTTAATCGGTTTTCAATGAATTGTAGGTCAATGGAGACTTGACCTACAGACTTTTCAACCTGCAGCCACTGTTCCAGTACGGATTACTTCCGTAAGTAGAGGGTCCACTGTAATTCTGTGTTTTAATAAATGGATACCAGTAGATAGAAGCAACATTCTAAGGCAGCCTTATCCAAGCCAGTACCCTCCACATGTGCTGGACTATGACTTCTTCCATCCCCAGACAACATGGCCACATTTGAGAGAACAGTAGTTTTTCATCTGGCTCGTTATTGAAATTGAAATTTCTGCCCATCTAATCCAATTCTCTCCCCCCCCCCCCCGAGTAATTAAAGATTTCTGCTCTTCCTCAAACTGTCTGGCAGTCTGGGGAGAGTGCCAGCATAGAGGAAATGGAATAGCATTGTTTTCTAGCTAATTATATCAACTAGAACAATCTGAGAGGCAATCAGATGTGAGCTGTTTCCGGGGTCGGTAATTTCTTGTAAATTTAATGTAAGTGAAGTCATTGAGTATGGGTAGGGGAAGAGGAAGTAGATTCTTAACAAAAAAAATTAGTATTTGCATGTCTGCTGTGTCAGACAGCAACAGAAAAAACAGAGTTCTTAAATTAGTATTGATTTTTGTCTTAAGAAGGTTTGATGAAGTCAGTAACTCAGAGCTCAGAAAAGAACCAACTCAACCCATAAGCCAGGATGGCCACATGGAATCGTAAAATTGGAAAGGACTTTAAATCTGTTCTAAATCCCTAACAGTGGAGGAATCTATTGCTATAGCATTCTTAACAAATGTCCAACCAAACTCTGTTTTTAAAAAACCCAAGAAAGATTGTAGTTCAGCAGTTTAAAGTTGCAATCTTCCTTTGAATTGTCTTTGTTCCATATCAGGTTGTTTAGAACTTGTTCTGGGAGCCTGAAGTGTTCTCCCCCTGAATTTTGGAGTATTGCCATTCCCAATACCAGATTTGTGTCTACTTAACTATTTTGTACTGTGTAGTGACTGCCTATTTGGTGAGTAGTTATTCTTGGCAGAGGATGACATTGGAAGATGACCAAATGAATGGACCACAGATTACAGTATTAAGGAGCCTCGTGGCACAGTGCTTAAACTGGAGTACTGCTGTCAAAACCCTGCTCACAACCTGGGTTGTCTCAAGTGGAACGGATTCAGGTAGCTGGCTCAAGGTGGTTGACTCAGCCTTCCATCCTTCTGAGGTAAATTGGTAAATTGAACACTCAGCTTGTGGTAAGAGGCAGTGTGTAGCCTGCATAATTGAATTGTAAACTGCCCAGAGAGTACTTTCACTGCTATGGGACTGTATACTGTATAAGCAGCACTTGCTTTGCTTTTACAGTGTTTCTGGAGCAAAGGCGGAGATAGAATTTGTCTCCTGCAGGGTCTGCTTCCAGGGTCACTCTATCCCTTATGTGACCTATTGTTGTGGGTAAGAAGATGTTTTAGGGAGGAGGGAGGAATGTTTATAAACAATGCCTAGCATCCATTGCCAATGAGAAGGAAGTGTCATTGTCCAGAGTTGGGTTCTACGTAGATGACTGATGGTGAACAAAATCCTCTTTTCATAACATACATTGGAAAAGGACATCACATGCAGTGACAAGTGACCAATAATTAAAAGAGTCCCTACTTCAGTTTTGAATGCATGCCAAACTAGTAAATTTGTGCTCAATGAAATTGCCTTTTTAGCCAAAAGAAATCAAAATTGAGGACTCTTGAATCAACAATAACCTGCTGCTGCAGATGACATTGTTTCGATTAGGTTTGAGCAGAAGCTTAAGGTGGCAATGTGTAGTGTTCTGTCACTCTTTGTTCCATTTGTATCCACTGGATACGTGTCAGGATGAGACTCTCAAAGCGATGTAAGTGCTTTTGAACACTTACAGTATGCAGTATATTAAATAGCATGCAGTATATTAAATAGCCCTGAAAATCCTAATGGAAACCAAGAGTGCATTAACTGATTTTTCTGATGCACCCTTTTGAAATAAATTAATTTAAGCTTGCTTTTTATGTGAAATAGCTTGTGCTAGGTAATGTAATTACAACTTTTAGACTGGTGTGATAGGATTCTATTTTAAAAGTTTACTTCTAAAGGTCTATTTTCAAGGTGGCATCACTTTAAAGTTAAGGCTCAGTTGGTAGTAAATTGTTTTAAAATCTTGTGGGACTGGATTGTCCTAACTCATTTTTAGTTCAGAGAATCGTTTTCTGTTTTTTGTTTTTAATTTATATTTTGCATCTGAAGAGTTTTTGTTATAATTCATTCTTTTGTTAAAATTCATTTTTCTTAGGCCCTTTTTAATGTGCCAAAGAAATTCTGAATAAACTGACTTTGATAGTCAAAAAATTAATCAGTTCAGAGGCTTATCATTTGTGTGGAAGAGTTTGTCATAGGGCTTCTTTTCCCTTTTTAGAGAAAGGATAGTGTTGGCTTGGCTGCACCCAGGTTTTTTAATTTGCATAACACTGAGTGGAATATTAATATTATTCACAATTCTTCTTGTTTGTTGACCACAAAATATGTAAAGTCGTTTTAGGGTTTTAACTTGAGAGTCAGTTTAATCAGATTTGTCCACCCACTGCCCCCCAACCCTAGAACATTTCATTTGAATAACCAGCAGGAAACCATCATAATCACATATTTTTATTCTGAGAAGGTACTCTAAATTTGAGCATTCTTCCAAATTAAGATGTGTGTTATCTCTAACAATGATATTAATCTGACCTCATTGACTTTCAATCTCTTTGCATATTTTTTCGTTCTGACCAGTTTACTCTGTCCTTAATCTTATTGCTGTTACTGTTCAGCTTTGAAACTGCATGTTTTACAGGCATGATGTTGTTTTGCTTTTCATTCTTTTGCTTAGTGTATCTAACAGTGGTGTCTTCATTTTCTTCAACTGCTGTATAGAGGACTGTTGAGTGACAATGAAGCAGAATATACAATGGTGCCTCTACTTATGACTATAATCCGTTCCAGAAGATGGATGTAACTCAAAATGGTTGTAAGTCAAAGCACCACTTCCCACAACTTCTCTATGAATGCATTGAAATGCAAGTACAGTAATCCGTTCTAGACGAAGAAAAATCTCTCTCTCTCTCTGTCTCATACACACACACACACACACACACACACACACACACACAAATCACTGCAA